CCAGCCGCTGCCCGATGGCCGTCAGGCCCGAGGGGACCCGGTGACCGGGTCACGGCTCCTGGGAGTTTGTGGGGTTCGAGGGCAGAACGTGGTGTTAAAAACACCGCAAAGCCGCTTGTTACGTTTTTATCCCTCCCTAAAGAAAACTAAAACATATTATTGGGCAAAATCCCCCTCTTCTAGCAACCAGTGTTGAAAGTTTTCATAATACATCTTGGCACTTGTTAAATTGAACCCACCCAAATACAGATGCTCAGAATAGTATCGTAAAAAAAATTGCTTTATAGTATAGTTTTTCAAGTATACAGATGCGGGCTACCTCACGGAACACAAATTAACCCCTAGAAGCACGCGTAGCTTCTGCAAGTTAGGCTAAACCAAACTACAGAATTTCTTTTCTCCCAACCACAGGTACGTAATGTATGCCGTGGTGTATCCCGAGTGCTGAGGATAGACCTGAATCACCACCTGTCTCAATAAAAAGCAGTAAGCCTGGGATGAACTTGAGCCTTTGAGCTTCCCTCCTTGGTTTCTTTATCATCTGACACTTCCAGGTAACATCAGCCAATACCTCATGTTAAATAATACACCAAAATAAGTAGTCTTTGCTTAAAAACAAAGACTAGCTAGAGATTGCTTTCCTGCAATATCTGTCCTACAGAAAAAATCTTTAGAACAAAATAAGTCTTAAGATCAGCGAGCTTTTACTCAGGAGTACCTCACTATTTAATAACTTAACAAAAAGTAGTCGCATCCTAATAGTAGAGCATGCCCAAGGAAGAGGGTTCCCTCCCGTCTCATAAGAAAATTCCCTCTGTGGGGTGTTACCCAGCTCACTTCAGCAGATATCTTACGATTTCAGAAGTTTTTACTTCTTCTGAATTTCCAAGCCTTCTGGTTACGGTGATTACACGCTACCTGTTCCTACCAGGCATTACCAGTGTGAATACGAACAAGGTCCTGTATTGTTGCAGTTTGAGGCAGGGCTGGTTTTCATCAGGTTATTTGGTATTGAGTGGCAGCCCCAAGCTATCAGTAGCATTAACTGCAAACTATCAGTAGTATTAACAGTGCCAATTTAGAGATTCAGCACTCAAAAATACTCATCTAATTTGCATTCACAAGAAGAGCACGTGCAATTCTCACCAGATTAACTACTACCTAGATGCATAATTACTGTTGGTGTGGAAAAGTTACCATAGATATGTGACTTTTGAACCAGTTTTTGAAAGGGAGACCCGAGGTAAAGAAGCAAGATGCTAGTTCATGCCACGTTAGAGTCTCACAACTGAATGCAGGCCTTTGTACCTGTGACACCCACCCCACCTGCACAACAGTCAGTAGCACCACCGCAAGAAAGCCGAAGAACCATCCCCAGAAACTTCCAGGGAGACAAAAGCTCACCTGTGAGAGCAGCAGTGAGTATTCTTGGCACCGCTAGGAGTCATTTGTGACTCAGCTATTTGATTAACTGTAAAGGAATATAAAAAAAACCCCAAACAAACCACAACAACAATCTCCTGTCCCCTAGCAATTATTAGGCTTACCTTCTTACTAAGTGAACGCGGCTGTATCCTCAGTCCTGTGCTCACAATGCAGGCTGGCACTCCAGCAAAACAACGTCTTCCTCAAGTTGGGGAAGCCAAAGTAGAAGACTCTGAAGAGAGCACGCTGCTCCAGATGCAGAGAGGATATATATGTGCTTGGAAGAGGAAGCTCTTGCTTGCTTTCTTCCACAGGCATAACCTTTTTTTTTTATTTAAAGTTTACTCTTCCCTGTTTTGGCTTGTCAGTCTTGAACTGACCAGACAATTTCCAAATCTGCATATAAACATCTCTCTTTCCTCAGAGACCTGCTTTCACAACCTCCATACTTCCCAGGTTCCAGAAGGAGGCTGTGCTAATTAGGCTGCAGCTGATGGTGATAACAACATTGAGCAGTCTTTTCAATTAGAGAATTGATGACACAGGTTCTCAGTAGTTTACAGGAGTTAGCAGTCACTTGTTGGTCTGAAAAATTTGGGAATCCCTTTGCTACACTCTTTAGAGCTTTTAATTACCCAAATGAGCTAAGAACGTTGCTGATAGTGACACTTTGAAAGGGTGTCTTTCTCCCAGCTCTGTATACCCACGTTGTCAGCAGCCAAGAGGTATGGAAACTGAACGGCCCTGCTAGTCTCTTGGACTGTGTCTTTGCTCAGCAAACTCTTTCCTTACCTGGTGTAAAGTGCTTAACGTAAAGGTTCAGCGAGTTACAAACCAGAGCTGGTGGCTTGTACCTGTGCTCGCAACGCAGCTTGCTGGTGTGTGCCGAAGGCACCGGCTGTCCAGCCTTCTTGTAAGGTTTTACCTCCTGCGAGACACCTTGGGCAAGAGAGAGCAACAGCTTTATCAAAGGCTTAAAATTATTCTGGCATTCGCTGGGATTTACTTATCTACCCGTGTCGTAGGCTCCCCTGGGTCTCTTTTTCTCTTGGTGCGCTTAGGGGTTGCTGCAAACCTTCACAATTCCTTTGTTCCTCTTCTTTTCGAGAGGTGGGGGAGAATTTGCCTTATATCCCCACCACAGTCCTTCCTAGCACTTGTCTCCTTAAATTCGGACAGCTGAGACAGGAAGTTTCCTGCAGAAGCTGGGTTCTTTGTTTCACCCTCCAGAGAAACCTTTTGTTTGTTTGTTTGAAGCTTCAAACCAACTTTTTAGAGCTGGCCTGGCAAAGATACCCAAAAGGTAGCTGAGAGTTACAGAAGGCCACGTTCAGGCAGTTGAGGAAATGAGATACCTGTCACAATCGTTAGGCACTACCTGCTTTTGGGACCGTGGCCCTGGATTTTTCTGGGTTTCAGTTTTTGCGTGTGTGAAGTGTAGGGACAGTACCAATCTGCTGCATATTGTGTGGATAAAAACTATTCATTAACAGCACTTTGAGATCTTCAGGTGACAAAATGGCTTTACATCATCTTAATGTAACTGTAATGGATTGACAGATTAAATCGTTGTGATCTTTAGGCCTGATCCTGTGAGAACCACAGCATCTTTGGTTTCAAACTGTGGCCCTTTATTCATAAGGGTCACGAGAGTATACGCTTGCGTCCCACTCCTTACACAGGTGCCTATTTAGGGGAACAGCTAAATGCTTGATAATGACACTTCTTTTTCCTCCTTTATGCTGCAGGTCCAGAAATACAAGGGTACTTGATTTTGTTTTAATTGCTAAGCCACAAAGACCGCAAACATGTCTCTGGAAGACATCCACATGAACACCGAGGATTTGCTTGAAAAAAAACAATTAGATGCTGGAGGATTTGGAACAATTTCTTTATGCTTCCACAAGACACATGGATATGTAGTATTAAAAAAAGTGTATACAGGACCTCAGCGCACTGAGTAAGTTACAGGTCTTCGTTCTGATTTTTTGTCTTTCAGTTAGTCTAAGGAATTCTCTAAACTCAATGGGGATAAATCTAAATAAAGTGTAATAATTTCATATCTTTGGATTCTGGAGATACTGTATGTGGGGAAAGTAAGATAATACTAGCAGCTGTCCTGCAAATTTTCCTTTTTTCCCTCATGAGCCAAGTTTTTTAGTTTTAACTCGTTGTTCCAGTGAGTTCCTGTTTCCGGTGGCAAAGTGAGCGCTGCTGTGAATTGTTAAGAAAAGGCTCTGTGTGCTTAAGGAAATGCAGGAACTCAGTGGGCACATTATATTTTCAAGCTTGCAGATCAATTTTCAATACAGTTGTCCAACCACAGAGGTCCACTAGGAACTAAATACACCTGAGCTACCACAACAGGACTCCAACCCCACGTGTATGATACCAAGAATGTAACCCTCTCTCCCTTGAGAAAAAGCAGAGGGAACCAAGCCCTGTTCAGTTCAAGGACTGGATTAGCTGTGGATTTCAGCAGATTCAGGTCACATTGCAGCTCTGCTCCCTCAGAGCCATAGCTATCCTGAAACTCTCCCACGAGTCATCCACTAGAGAGAGACAAAACCCCATGTTCTTCTAGTTTGGGTTATAATGAATAAATTAACTGAGTTTTTATTTTGCCAGTGGAAGGTAAATTAAGAGATTCTGGTAGTTTGCAAACTGCACGGACAGTTTGGGATGAACACAGTTTAAATGGATGAGCCTGCCTGGTTTATTTTTGGGTTTGCGTTTTTACTTTCTCACTACACGGGCTTGTAAGTTTGTTATTCCTTAAAGTCCTAAACCAAAAGTCTTAAGCAGATTTACAGCTGAGCCTAGTGCAAACAAAACAGCCACTCCCTTCTCTGGTACTAGAGGAACACGGGGGGAGAAAGCAGTTTCCTTCTAAGTCACAGGGTAGAAAAGCATTAGCAAGCAACTTAGTCTCAAGATTATCTTACATCCTTTTGCCCAGTGACTAGAACAGGAGCAACAGTAAAAAGAAGACTATTTAATATCATGGGTACTATCCTTCTTTAACACCCTTGGTGAGCTCCTAGCTGTGTACCTGTGACTATTGATGGGTTGTACTGAGGCCCAGGTAAAGAGTTAGGCTTTGAATTCATCCTCAACCAGTAATGATTAGTAAATGTTACCACCACCCAGTATGTGGGTGGATCCCCTGTAGTAGATCCATTCTGAACGTGGACATGAATACCAGCCCACTGGGAAAGAGACCTATATAGTTTCCTGTACAAGAGGTGGTGGAGTATGTCTTGGTCCTCCTTGTCTGAAGGCTCTTTCAGCCTTGCCCTGGTCCTGCCCCAGTTCAGGGATTGGGACGTACTCAGCCAGCAGTGCCCATACAAAAAGAATGCTTCTGCACTTTCGGAAAGGCAGGCCTTAAAATCAGGCTGAGCAGACAGTCTCTGTGCAAGGCATTTAAGACTTAGAGAAGATAACCTGGCATGAACAAAGCTGTATCAGTTCAAAACCAGCTGAAGGTACGGTTCATCTTACAGTGGCTCTAGGGATGTTGACATTTTTGGCCATCATTTTCGTTATGAATCATCAGCATTTTCATCCCTCTGTTCTTTCTAGCCTGGCACCTGAGTTCAGTGTAATTTCTGTTTTACAGATACAACGCTTCCCTCCTCGAAGAAGGCAGGATTATGCGCAGACTGCAGCATGACCGCGTGGTAAAACTACTAGGTATAATTTTGGAAGACGGAAACTACTCACTTGTGATGGAGTATGTGGACCGGGGGAACATGATGAAAGTGCTACAGAAAGTGAGCAGTGAATTGCTTCACCCCTTGCCACTCCATAGGGTCGATAAGCTGCTTGAAAGGGGCACGATGTTACTGCTGTCTCCGAAGAATGAAGCCTTTAGTTTCTCGTTCTCCCTTCTGTATTAAGGAGTCAGTGGCAGCCCCGACTTCTCTGGAGACAGCAGGGGACAGCTGTGGCTTTCCTGCTCATCACAGAGGCGCAGACCACAGTTATAGGTCCAGAGTTATAGGAGTGTTTGTAGAGATACGTGGAGAATTTGCAAAAGAACAACGCTTTTGTAAATATGGAGTCACTCTAGAATTACTTCAATGCCAAAATTTAGATGCAAGAAGGACCTTGGTTCTTTTTTACCCTGGCTTGAGCGGAGGTACTCTTGTGACTGAGAGAGAGACTTTTTTAAAGACTGCTTTTTAATTTGATGGTTGTAGTAGCATTTTTTTAATAGATGGTACTTCTGTTCTTTATTTTAGCTCTCACTGCCCTTGTCAGTGAAAGGGCGTTTTGTGCTGGAGATCACAGAAGGAATGCTTTATCTGCATGAGCAAGGCTTCGTACACAAAGACCTAAAACCAGAAAACATCCTTGTGGACACAGACTTCCACATTAAGGTACTTGTTAGAATGTGAACGGAGAAAGCTGATGGTTGGGGTTGAAGAACCCAGTTCAGCTGCATTGGTTAGTATTCCCGATGGGCAGATCACCTCCTTTGTACTCTAGTAGAGCTATGGCTAAGAGAGTGTTAGCAGTGGGTCACTGAAGTGGTATAGTGGCCTATATAACCTGTGAGCCTGAGATTTGTATAATCTTCCCCCCATCCGTGGAAAAAAATATCACTAAGGGTATTAAAAAAATGAATAATATTGTTGAGAATGAATCAACTACAAATAACAAAACAGCTAGAAAGAAAAAACAAACCTTAACGTGCAGAGATTGAAGCAAAATTAAATGTCTTATGGATCATGTCTGTCTTTCATTGCTGTGATTTATCCTCCTGCCTTTACCTCCCCCTTTTTTTTCTCCTTTCCTTGTTTTGTCTATTATCTTTTCCTCTTTTGTCTCCCTCTTTTTTTCCCTTAGTCATCATTTTTAAATGACAGCCAGCAGCTACAAAAAAAACATCAGGAAACTACTTCAAAGAATGATGTATAAGCCTGTTCCAAAGCCCTTCTATTAACTTTAGTGGGCTTTTGGATCAAGATACATAGGTACAGATCCTACTGCTGAATAAACCTGAGTAGAATTTGCAGCAGTCCTCATCGTATGTCCTGTCTGTGGTCAAGGTGAGTTCCTGAAATAATCACCCCATTACAGTATGAAACTACAGAATAAATTCCTATGAAGAGAGCTGTTATTTGGTATTTCTCACGCATGTATTAGTGAGAAGTGGTTTGACAAGGTTAATATAGTAGCAAGTCCTAGAGCAGTATGAGCAGCTTGCAGATAAGAGTTATAAACCATATTTTAGCCAAAAGTAGAAAAACTCATCACGATCTGCCTTAAATGTAAATTGGATTGGGAGGGGGGGTTCAATTTGCTTGTATGGACAGGACCAAACTAGGCCATCATCACACTGCATAACAAACTGAACTGGAACCCAGGATCAAATATCGAATCAGATCAGACTTCCTTAAGCAGCTTGATCAAAAGTATCATTTAAGGCAGCAGTATTATTTATCTGCTTGAATGTGTCTCACATTGCCAATATTTCTAAAGGGAAGTAGTCGTTCTAGCAAACAGCAAACGTAGGAAGATTTATGCTGTATCTTCCTCTAGCACATTAGACCTCCTTTCTGGAGGAGGATTTGGAGACATGAACTTGGACTCCTGCTTCCTCAGCAGGACGTCATGTACATTTTCCCCTTCCTCCAAACGCATCGCCTCAAAATTTATTCCAAACTTTCAGAAAGTGAAGAGGAACAATAAGCTGGTTAGAGGCAACAAGAGAGAAAAGCAAAGCAAACTAGAAGTGAGGCAAGGTGTCACCTCAGTTTCATCCGGAGTGACTGGGTTGTGCAGCTCAGTATGACAGCTGCCTGTGGCCGAGAGAGGCAGTCCTGTTTGCTGCCACTGGTTCCTCTCCTGCTGACCTCCTGTCCCCTGGTGTTAGCACTGGTGCTAACCTGACCACCCTGCCCTCTTGTAGGAAGCCAAACCAGCAGATCGCAGTTTGCCTTGTTGGCGGCGCTGCCCTTCTGTTGGGGAACACTTGGTCTGGCAAAAGCCATTCGAGGTCTTCCCAGAGCCAGTGCTGGGACAGCAGGAGCAGAGGGAGCACATAACAGAAGGCTGCAGGGAAAGGACGGGGGGAATTTCTTTCTTCACCATCCGCCATTAGCTTGGTTGTAAAACTGCACCCTAAGGCTTCGGTAATGTCACCTTGTCAAGCGCACAGCACCCAGCTATCCCTGCTTTAACTTATTCCATGCTGTCCTTTTCCATGTCTCTCTGCCATACACATCACATCATTTTAGATCCTGTTCTTCCACCTTTCTGTAGGAGGACCTAAGGAAGTCGAGTTAAATGGAATCTAAATGGAAAGGGCAGTGAGGGAGGAGGGGTACCCGCCCGTCTCCTCAATTACTTCTGGATTTGAATCTTAGCTTCTGCTCATATGGATCCTCTGTTCTGCCACAAGCACTGCAAGCAGATCTTGAAAGTGACTGTCAATATGAGCAAAAACAAACTTATTTTTTCCTTACGTTGTGCGATTGTTCCAAGTGGGGTTAAGTTGTTAATGAAGGCTTAGTCTAATGGTTCCCAGTTGGCAGTGATACTTTATTTAGTCGAAAAAAGACCCCACAAAATAGCAAAGAGTTTGTTTTCTTTTCTTGTAGTTGCATTTTTTGCAGTGCTTCATTTTTAGATAAGTATTACCAGCTATTTGTTATAAAATTGAGCACTGCATGAAATACTTGTTTCTCTGCTCTTCACCACAGCACTAGCTCTGACGCGTCTCGGTTTTCAGATTGCAGATCTCGGCGTTGCCTCCTTTAAGAACTGGAGTCGGCTGACCCAAGAAGAGACTGTCCGACAGAAGCAAATCAACAGCGCTTGCCAGAACAACGCTGGGACGCTTTTCTACATGGCCCCCGAGCATTTACGCTGTCTTAACGTTAAACCTGTGGAGAAATCCGATGTTTACAGCTTCGGCATCGTGATCTGGGCAATTTTTGCTAACAAAGAGCCCTACGAACGTAAGTTACTTCCAAAAGGACGCTATCACAAAATTAAGTACCAAATGTTAAGTATTACAGAATCACAGAATAGTAGGGGTTGGAAGGGACCTCTGTGGGTCACCCAGTCCAACCCTCCTGCCGAAGCAGGGTCACCTTTTTGTCCAGGCGGGTCTTGAATATCTCCAGAGAAGAAGACTCCACAACCTCCCTGGGCAGCCTGGGCCAGGGCTCCATCACCCTCAGAGGGAAGAAGTTCTTCCTCATGTTCAGACGGAACTTCCTGTGCTTAGTATTTAAAGTTACAGAATTAAAATTAGTAGATTAAATCGCCTGTGCCCAAGAATAGTGCCTGTTCGGCACCTCAGGGCCAGTAAGAGGCATTGGTTGCATCATTCCTAACTTCTAGGCATGGGCGAGAACATCTGAGCTGAAACGCGGGCGTGAGCCCGATCTGTTCACATCCACGTGGTGGGAGCACAGACCTGCACTCAGTGGCAGGAGTTAGACAAACCTTGGGCAGGCCAGGCTGGAAACTTTGATGTACACAGTTTCCTGAGCTGGGCTAGTTACATGTGGTTTTGCTTTATAACGGGAATGGGCACCCAGCCGGGTACTTCGCAGCTGTGCGGTGCTAATTTCTCAACGTGCAGCAACGTGCTCGTGTAGAGCAATAGGAGCAGGCTGTGGAACACCAGAGTAACACGTCTGTCATTCTGAATAGATTTCTTGCTAACTATGAGGCTAAACATTGCCTCTGTGGCCATCTTTGTGTTCATACCCAGTGCAGAGTATAATAGATTCAGGTTCTAGGGAGCTAGATCTGTCACCCTTACTCATACTGGGCATGTGTTACACATAAAAGTCAATCCATTAATCTTAAAATGTATTTCTAATCTGTAGAAGTTAGGGCAGTGGGTTCAGATTCACTGATGTGAGAGATTCGTAGCTGTAAATCAGATACCTGTCTTTGAAGTCTTCTTTTACATATCCACAAACACACAGGGAGCTGCTTCACTATTTGTTTTACCTACAGAAAGGTAGCAAAACCCGTGATCAGGATCCAACAGGAAATTTTATTTTTCAGATGGTATAAATGAAGCCCAGATTTGCTTTGGCATCATGAATGGCAGCAGACCAGACATAAAGGAGATCACGGATAAATGTCCAGTGGAAATTATTGACTTAATGAAGCAGTGCTGGGAGCAAGAGACGGAGAAACGGCCAACCTTTGCAGGTAAGGCATTGCCTTGGGATTCTTTTTGTCACGTGTCCATCAATAGTTGTAATGCAGCAAAACAAGGTTGGGTGTTTTCCTCTTAAAATACAAATTTTTGCTTTGGAAACAGAAATACCAATTCACTTGCCCAGTAAAGCATGCTCCGTGACTAGAAATGGTATCTGGTCCCACATTTACAGATTTGAGAAATACCAGTGAGTTGATGGAGCTAAGACAGTTTATACCTGCGGATGATTTGTCTTCAGCATGGTGTAATCTT